TACACCTACAATCCTGTGCATGGCCGCTCAGTTCAATGGGGCTTGAACCTTGGCAAATGTGTTAATCTGGTTTAACAATCCATCACTCTAGGCTGAGGCTATTACATTTAGGTGTACGTTTCTTGCTTAAAGTGTCAGAAGTCCTGGGTTCAATGCACCTACAAGGCTTTCTTGTCTGATACAGATGAGAAGAAATGACCTAGGGGATGTTTGATGGCAAGGCACAGAACTCAGCATCTTCAACAGGTGGCATGGATAGGAAAGACATCCCTCATGTTTCTATGTTCTTATAAAGCATCTGTCTGGGAGATAATTCTTTGATGGCTCATTCTCCCCACCTCTGTACACCTCTACCTCTGTATTTATTGTATCTAATCCAGCACTTTAAAGCCACAGTGGGACCAAATACAAAGCTTGCCCAAAGAAGAGAGGTATGATGCAGCATGGTGGGATTCTGCTCTAGTCTTACATATTTTATCATGCTTCTAGCATGGCTGCTGGGCTCACTATGATTGCTCTTGAGCAGTACAGGCTCAGCACAGAGTGCATGTGGGTTGTAGCAGCTAGACACATCTGATCCCAAATTAAAATCCTGTACACTACAAGATGCTTGAGGAATTTGTTCATTCCTCAGTGTGTCATGCCTCATGCTCCCTGGCCTAATACATACATAGATCAGAACACAAATTACTCTTCACTTATTCCACTCGCTTAAGTTTTCAGTGCAATTCTGGGCTCAAACAACATAATATGATGTGTACAAAAATGCATATTTTAGATTAAATGGATACAAACATGCTTGCTTTAGGATAAATTCAAACAAAATTCACATTTATTATTTGGTATGTAGGAAAATGGGTATTTCAGGTAAAATGTATACACAAATGTGTATTTTGCACATGAAATAGTACACATTTCACTGCAGTTGTTTAAAATTTGCAGATTGATACAGAAGCTGGATTGGAGTACAAATTCTGTGATTATATACAGACAAGTAACCTGTTGGTTGTCTACCCTGAGAGGAAGAGATCTGCTCACGGAAGGTCCATCTGCCTGATTTTGGGATTCCTCCCACATCATAGGTCAACCTATTCAACTGACTGTTTGTGTAGCATCTTCAGGGGTCTGAAGGGACTACCATGGGAAGGAAAGATAGGGAAGTCCACTTCCACCAAACCAGTAGATCCAGAATAAATCTAGACCAAAACCTCTGTAGTTATCTCTACAAATGTCCTTTCCTGCTGACTTTGTTGATATTTCCTACTGTTCACTATTTAGAAAAGTCACAGTAAAAGATGCATGGACTGGGAAGAAAGTCTGCTAGCAGTGACTACCCCTGTGGTCGAATGGGCAGAGTTAAAATCAGAAGATGTAGGTCAGAATCTCAACCCATAAGAAAACTCAGCTGGATCAGGGTGCCAGGATCCTGTTTTCTACAACTGGATGCTTCTGAGAAACTCACAAGTTGGGCATGAAGGCATCAAACCCTTTCTCTCCACTCCACCCCCATCTATTGCATCCCAGCAACTGGCATTCATTGTCATACTGCTTCTGAATGTGGATCTCCATCGACAGACCCATCCTCCATGAACCCTCCTTTAAAGCCATCCAAGCCATGGCACATCTGATGGCAGCAAATTCCATAAATTAATTATGGGTTGTGCATGACATACTTTCTTTGTCTGCCCTGAATCTACTGCCATTGGGTGACCCCAAGATCCAGTGTTATATGGGAAAGGCAGGGAGAAACACACATACAGCCTTCTCTCCTCTTGCTCCACACCATTCATGCCACTTTATCCTTCAATGGATTTATTGTACAGCCTCTTAGACATGTCCCCATCCCTTTGCCTCTGTCTCAGAGGTGCCATTTCAGGACAGCAGGGGGTTGCTGCCCCCAACTCTGCTTCAGACCACATGTGATTATTCCTCAGGAAAATCAGCATGTTGCCCAGTTCATTTATTCCACATACTGAGAGACAATTATTGAAAACAATTAAACCAGCCTATGCACTAGTTAATGCAGGTCAAACACACAAAGCCTTTTGCTTTGTGTGAGTGTGTGAGTGTTTGTCTTGTATAGATAATACTGCTAAAGTTGTGGAGTGATATAAAAAGCAATGCTAGCAAATGCTCCTGAAATAAACCGCTGTTTGCAATTTAATCTGGAAGTCCACAGGCAGGCCTTTAAACCTTGCTAAGAATCTCCCCTGCCCCCTTCTAAAGTCTCTTCAGATGAAATCTGAAGCAGTGTTCTTGGTTCTCCACTTGCAAATAGGCACAATGCAGGCCTACTTCACAGGGGTTGTTGTGAGGAGGAATGTAATGCCATTTTGGAGCTCTTTGTAAGCCAATAGCCCCATCTTGTGCATGTCAACTCAGCCAAAAGAAAATCCCACTGAGTTCAAAGGAGCTCACTCCTGGGAAGGGGCATTGCTAGACCTGGGACCATGAGGCCCTAGGCCAGATTTCTTTCCCAGGCTGTTTGATCTATTTCCCAGAGCCCAAAGTGTCCACTGGATTGAATGGAAGTGTTTTCCACCCGCTTCTTTTAAGTGCCACATTGGAGGGGACAATTTTCAAGGGAGGTTGCAGCTGATGAGAGAAGAATGATCACCACCTGCCCTCCATGCCACGGCATTCCTCAGCCTCCCCAGTACACTGTTGCCAATGGGAGGTTTCTCATAAGTTAGCTGCTATGGTCCTGATGCTGGTGCTGGTGGGGTCCAGGGTGTTCACACTTGGAGAGGAAAAGGTTAACCATCCTGTCCCTGGGCAGCCTGAATTCCTCCTCCGCATGGTAATTAAGCTTAGAAAAAACCCTTCCACTGATGCCAGTGGAAAGATAGCTTTCAAATGCCCAGCAATGCCTCTGCTTCTGGTCAAGACAGCAGACTAAATGTGCCAAAGAATGACAAATTCTGTGGGTTGGATCCAGATTTGTCATACTTAGGGCAGAGTCATTGAAGTCAATGGGGTTGATGTTAGTCACAGTGAATGGAAGTCCCATTGATTTCACCAAGTATGACTAACCCTGGATCCCACCCTATGAACTGGGTACAGTCCACCTGTGAGCTCACTGACACATGCACTCTCCTAAGTATTACAACTGCCTTGCCCAAGCAGGTGCATTCCAGATAACTTTGGATTGCTGCTAACTTTCATCAGCCCCAGCCAGTGATAGAAGCTGTACACCCAACACCCAGGCAGGGCTCAGTTAGGGGAGGCTGGACTCTAGGAATGAAGTACTGTGGCATGGACCATCCCTCCAAGAGCTTATTGCCCTCACACTGGACAAAATTAGGTAGGGCTGGTGGAGTTACAAGAGGGAAGGATTTGGAAGAATTTGGCTTTGCATCCCTTAACACAGAGGTATGCAGGCTGGTGCCCTTCAGATGTTTTGGTGTACAAGATTATGCATGGTGTGGAGAAAGTGGACAGGGAGACTTTTTATTCCCCTCCCATAATACTTGTGTGCTGTGGGGTCATCCCATGAGCCAGTTGGTGGGGGAGTCAGCAGAAATAAAAGGAAGTACTTCTCTGAGAGCACTTCATCAGACTATGGAATTTACTCCCACAAGATATATGATGGCCAACAATTTGGATGGCTTCAAAAAGGGTCCTGGACAAATTCGTGGAGGAGACGGTCATCAATGGCTACTAATCTTGATGGCCCTGTCCTACCTCCAGCATCAAGGGTGACGTGAAAGTGTACATCATTCACTGGGGAACATGAGTGGGGGGGCACTGCTGCCCTCATGTCCTGCGTGTGTGTCTCCCATGGCTACTGTTTGAACAGAATGTTGGACTAGATGGACTGCAGGTCAGATCCTACAGGGCTCTTCTTACGACTCCTAGAGGTACCATCAACTCTAGCAGTTGGTCATGCCAGCTGGGGCTGGAGGGAGTGGTATTCCCCGCCATCTGGAAGACCACAGGTGGCCTGCTCAAAAAACGAACAGAAGAGAAGTCCTTTTTAGGGGAGCTGAGCCCTTTGACCGGACCACCTGAGCAACCTTCCTCTGGAGCAAAAGTAGGTGACCTCCACATTTGGCAGAGGACGAGAGAACGGGAGAGGAGTGGTCCCGCCCCGCTGGCACTCGCTCCTCCAGCGCTCTGCAAACTTCGCTCCGCTCCACCCAGCCAAGAGACAGATTCAGCTCCGAGGAGTTCTTCGAGAGAGAAAGGAGGAGAGAGCGCGCGCGAGAGAGAGGCGGGGGAATCCTCTCCAGTCGTCAGGCAGAAGGCTGGCTGGAGAATCCGTCCTCCCTCCGCTCCACCTGTGGCTTGCCGTTTTGCGCCAACGGGCTCCGCTCGCCGTTTTCGCCCTATGCCAATGGAAAATGTTCCTTCGCGATCGAGCCGTGCGTCTGGAAGCCTGGGGGAGAGGAGGGGCCGCGGGGAGCGGGAGGAAGGAGCGAGAAACTTCTCCTCAGCTCAGCGTCCTTCCTTGCATATGGATCTGCACATCAAGCCCCGGCCCGCGAAGCAGGCAGCCCTGACTCGACTGAAAAAATGAAATGAATATGCGCCCGTTACAGCAATCCGGTCCCTACTCGCCTCTGCATCTCCACCCTCGCTCCCTTTCTTGAGCATTCTGGAATGTTGAAATCCATATGTGCTCTGCAGATCTGTTTTCCTGGAAAGCATGGAAGGAAAGGGTGCGAGAAGCTGGGATGGAGGAGGAGAAGGAGCTGGGCTGAGGGGAGGCAAGCGCGCGCGCCCAGAAAACGTTTGATCTAGGCTCTAAGCCCAGGTCCCCCCTTCTGCTCAAAACGCCCTCTCATTTCCACTGCGATTCTCCTTTCCAAACACCTTCAAAGGACACGCACACCTATCATACAAACGCCCTTGGCATGAAATCGCCCTATGAGCGGTCCCTCGGAAGGTATCCTCCTCTTCCTCCTCTTCATTTTCCTCTCGCTTTTTCGGTCGCGGTTGGGGTGGGGAACGCAAGGAAGGCTAGCGCGAAGAACGAGCAAGGAATTGGAATGGCTTACTTGTGCTTCCCCATGGGCTTTCCCGGAGTGAGCTGCGGGCTAGATCCTGAGGTATAGAGGTTGTATCTGTTGCCGTAAGGGATAGGCACGGGGTGGCGGTAATAGGTCCCTTTGGCATCGGTAAGGCGAACCAGCGTCCCGACGCAGAGCAAGGAGATAGACGCGCAAGAGAAAGCTGTCCCGAAGAGCCGTCTTGCCCGGTTCATGTTCTCCGAGGAGAGCGAACGCGCCAGCCAGCCAGCCAGCCAGCGAGCGAGGGAGAGATGCGCGCTGAAGCCTTTTCCCTTCTTGTGCCACCAGCAAGGACCCACCGAGGGAGTTTCTGCTCGGGGTCGGCTTGATCTCTGCTTTCCACCCTGGGGGCGGCGGCGGCGGCGTGTGCGCGCGTGCGAGGAGGAATCCCTCCAGAAGAGAAGCTGGGTTACAGCTGTGCTCCTTCTTCCCGGATCTCCAAGGCGAGAGAAATCTTCGCTGACCTCTGCCCGCGGGGCAAGAGAGGAGAGCTCTGCTCGCCCTCGCTTGGGCTTCTCCCCGACCGAAGCCTCTCTTTTGTACCTTTCCTTGCTGTTCGCTTCGCTCTCAGTCAGCCCCGGCTCCCCTAGTACGGCAGGCGAGAGAGGCGGGTCCCTCCTCCCTCTGGATTAGCATAATATTCCGTTCATCTCCTCCTCCAGCCGCCTGGCCTTTGAAATGCTCACCCCTACCAATCAGGGGACAAACCCCTGCAGTGCAGCATCAAACAACTGCTTTTTAAAAAAAGAAGACGGCGACGAGGACGGCGATGAAGGAGAAGACGAAGAAAGGAGGAGGGCGTGAGAGAAACAAAGGCAGGATGAGAGGAACAGACAAGAGAGAGGGGGGCAGAGAAAAGAAAGGAGCAGCCCGAGGAAGAAGGCTGCTAGAGAGAGCCTTCTTCCAGAATGCCAGCTCCCAGGAATGTTGGCAGGGATGCTGTACTTCTCTCCGGTGTCCTGATTCAACACATCTGACCCCCATAAACCACATGGTTTCCATGTGCAGTTGGCACAGCTTGCCCCCCAGGAACTGGCAGTCAAAGGGAATCATGGGTGTTGCAGTCCCTGTAGAGGAGAGGTGGATATGCACGACAGCATACTTCTTTCCCCTTTTTTTTGGTAGCGGTATTCTTTCCTTGCTTCAAAGTTTTTGCCATTTCCAAAAGAGGCAACCATCATACAGCCTTGCAGGTAGAAGGCCCTTGCTTCAATCACCCATGTTTATAACAGATTTTAGTTAGGGCAGCTGGAGAGCCATCACCACTCTGGGCAAGATTGCTGAAGGGGGAGAGCACTGAACAATTGTTGGATTCAGCCTGTGGGGTGATGCTGTACAATTCCCACCCGTGAGGCAGAGCTGGGGATTCAAGGACTCACCCACTGGGACTTGTTTTCCTTTGACAGGTAGTATAAGAGTGTGAACTTTTGGCAGGTCCAAATGTTTAGTATTCTGCTCAGAACAAGTAAATACAGCCCACTCCTGTACTTTCGGATTTGCAGAGACGCACTCACAGGAGCACCCCAGCAAGTCACTCCTACAGTTCAAGTCAGAAGAACATCTCTCAGTAACTTTTAAAATGGCAACACTGGCATGCTGACCTGGTCTCCATGACTTTCCAAAGTGAAGTTGGATGACTGAAGAATCTAATGGACTAGCTTTGGCCTGAAATAGGTCTGTGTTCTGACTATATGAATGAAGCTGGCTTTTGCAAGGAAAGTGAGCTCTTCTTGCCAATACCAACTTTTCATCAGACTAGTAGTACCTCTCCGGGGCCCAAGGACAGGTTTTTGTAACTGGAGATTCTGCTGTTACCAAAGCATGTGCCCTGCTTGTATGAGTAGCTATGTTTCCTTCAATGTCTTGTGTAGACTTGGCCAGTCTTAGGCTCAGCTCCTTATCTTTTAGTAGATGGTTGTGAAGACCAACAAAAGGAGGGAGTTGCAAAGTAAAAGAGTTCTAATGATGATGAAGAAGATGATGCCATGATGTAGCAAATGTTATACATCTTATCATGATATAGAACTTTACTTTGCCCTGCTCTGTTCTTCTCTCTTCCCTCCTCCTCTCCTCTCCTCTCCTCTCCTCTCCTCTCCTCTCCTCTCCTCTCTTCTTTTCTTAGTAGATTGGACCAGGTCATTAAAATAAGAGACAGGGCACTGACGTGGTGGGCATTGTGAACATGTCCATGATCTTGACATATACTGGAACACCCAAAAGCTTCATTTTGTAGCCATATTCCATTGACAGATTGTAGACATAGATACCACCATGAAAAGTAAACAAAATCATGGAAGTTGTGTTAGCATCTGAGGTCATCTTCCAGCACAAAGTGAAATGCGCTTATGACCATTGCTCTAAATAGATAGGAACTGCTGATGTATTTGTTACCAGTCTGTCATAGTTGTCGCCAAGCAAGTCCACCGTCTTTGTCATTCCATGCTCTTTCTCAGCCATTCCAATTCAAGAACTTCATGGGTTCCATTTTGGGAGTATGCAAAGTAGTATCCAAGAAAAGGAATGTGCAGATGCATGGTGTCATGTGTATCCTTTTCCATTTGCACTCTATCACCCATACACTATTCATGTATTTGTTACCTCTACATTCCACCTTTCATCCAAAGAGCTCAAGGAGGCATAGATGATCCTTCTCCTCTGCTGAGATACTGACTGAGATCCAGTGATTGGTCAGGGTCACACAGTGAATTTTGTGGAACCCAGATCTCCCAAGTTCTAGACCAGCACTCCGACACTATGACACATTTGATCTCTATGCTAGCTGGTTCTCCATATTAGATAGTACTAACCCAGTGTTCCCTCTAGGTCTGAAAAATACAGAATTCAGATTTCCTGACTCGTCTAAGATTCATCATCCAGAATTCATTTTGCAACAGTACACTGCCCGACTTCTCCAAAAATCCCCAAGCAAGCCATGAGTGATGCCCAGCCCCTGTTCCTAATCCAGGATCTGATGCTTCCATCTAAACATGGAAGCTTAATTCAGCTTTCAGTGGTTCCATGTGGGATCTTTTGTGGAGACATATTCCACTGAGCCTCACTAGACCTGCCCATGTGCCCTCACAGGTGAACATGACTTCATGATAATATTCACTGACTCTCCCCATATATTTTAGACATGGAAGTGTCTTCATTAGCGCTCCATGATCATAGGGCACTGAATCATTGACTTGTGGAAACATTCTTGTATCATGCAATCATCCTACTGGCCATGGGTAGAAAAGTAGCATATCTGTATTAGAAATCCACACGGTGTTATAACCAGGAGGGCAAAAAAATTTCAGACAGAGGGAACATAGAATGTTGCTTTATCCCAAGTCAGACTTCGTGCCCATCTAGCCCATCTAACTTGTAGACACCTTTCTTGGAGCCCACCTGGCTCCCTGCCCCTCTTGATTTGTGAAGCTCAGATGGTGCCCAGTGAAGGGCTACCCTGAGCATCATTATTTATGCTCAGCTGAGTGGGCCATTGGAATTCAGAGCTCACCTCTGCCTTGTGCGTAACATCTTGGCAAGTTACTTTTCTTTAGTCTCATCAGTTTACCCACTAGGAAAGGGATGTTTTTAACCAGCCATTCTCACTCTGGTGGGCATTTGATGAATGGGCAAGCCTGTCCCATGCCAGCCACTTTGTGAGAGCACCCGTGTCACTCAGAAGTCCAAATATGCCCACAGCAATAGCCACTCTCCATGCACAGACACACCCAGACTCACCTTTATATCTGTTTTAACTATCATAGCTTGCCTCAGAGAATTCGAAGACTTATAACTTAGTGAATGACTGGGCAGTCTGCTTTCCAGATCCCTAGAATGATGGTCTGTGATGCTCCTGGTGTTGATGGAATAAGTATTAAATCAGTTTAGAGTGCAAACCTATGCAAGTTTAGATAGAAAAATGGCCTCCCAGTCCCAGCATGCTGACTGGGGCAAGCCGGGAACTGGAAGCCTTTTATCTGCTAACCTTACATAGGAATGTGCCATTAAGTATGTAGTGTAGAAGTGCTTGCATATCAAAACACCAGAACTGTTTCAAATTTAGTATTGCTTAAGTTACACCACCCCGCTCCACTCCAGCAGAGTCCCTTCTCATGGTTTATGCACCAAAGTGCATTACCAAAAGTCTCTGTGTGGCTTAGAACCCCATTTGCTTATCCTAACCATGTGGCATAGGCCCATTTAAATCTTATTTTCTAGGTTACTTGGACACCACAGAGAATTGGAAAGTTAGTAAGTTCTGCTAGATGCTGGTGATATAATATGGCTGATGTAAGCCTGCTCTGTGGTGGCTTCTTTTTAGTCAGAAGTTTTTGCTTGCATAAATTTTCTTCTTGAAAAATCTGTGATAGACAGCAAAAGTGGATTTCAAGAGTCCTAACAGCTGCAACTCATAATTTAAGCTTGGAACAGGATGAGCACCCACTACTTCCAAGACTAAACATCTTTCCATTCCTGCTCCATGTACCCTACACATATCCTACAGTTGTCAATTTCATCTGTGTGCTTATTTAGATGATCTTATATCTATGCAGATGTATTGACTCTTTCTCTCTCTTATAATTAATGGTGTTGTGATTAATTATTGTGAATGCATATACTTTGTTCTTATTTGTTGCCGTTGTCTGTTCTTTCCTCTTTTGGTTTTGTTATAATTACAATTAATTAATTAATGGGTGAGAATTTGAGTCCAAAGAGAAAGACATGCTGCCAAGGTTTTGCATGCGAGCTGCTATTTGAAATCCAGGCCCAAACCACGAAGGGTGTCCCTTGTATTATCGATTTATTGTGTGGCTACAGAGAGGATGGGATGTAGCTCAGAAACAGAATGTGTGTTACGCAGGCAAAAGGTACCAGATTCAGTTCCTGGCATCTTCAGCTATAACTGAGAAAGAATCTTGCCTGGAATCAAAGAGGGCTGTTGCCAGTCTGTGTTGTCAGCACTGGGGTAGATGGACCAATGGTGTGACTCACTGTAAGGCAGCATCCTGTGTTCCAGCTGTGTTCTGGGTTTTTTTATTCAGATGGGCAGAAATTGAGTCATCCTGGGGTTTCATATTTTTATACCTTCTTATCTTTAGTTATTAGTCAATGTCCAACATTGCTTATGGAAGGTTAGACGACAATAAAATTCACAGGACTCCATGTAGAAAGAATGTTATCTACTTTTTTCTACATGATT